TAAGAGAATATTATAACAACCTTTTTACAATTTAATGTATAATATATAGTGGCATTCATGAGACCCTGCAAGTGACCCTAACGGCCCATTAGGTACCGGTCCACTGGACATTTGCCCGAATGCCCATATAGTCAGTCCGCCCCTGGTGCATCCTAGAGAAGGGAGGAACAAATATGTCGCCCAGTCGTGCATTCCATATACCATCTAGTTTTTTTTTTTTTTTTTCTTTTTTGAGTCGGACGCTGAAGGAAGAGTGTAGTATTTCACATGGTTACCTAGACCCATTGGTTACCTAGGCCTACGGTATGACATGTATTAGAGATTTTCATCTTTGGCGGAAAAAACTACATATAGCTTTTTGGTATATGCGGTGTACAGAAATAAAAGAAATATTTATTAGCTTTTTTTTTTTTTTTTAAGGTATAAAACAATTTTTAGCACTTTTTTAGTATTGCAGAATCAAATTTATAGCTCATTTTTTGTTTTAAGTGTATGCAATGTGTTTTTAAATTTAATTGCAATATTGAAATTTAGCGCCCATGACATGATTTAGTTTATCCTTAAAATCCCAACTAGTGTGCTACTGCTACTACTAATGCTAGGCCAACTTATTATTTTTCTTTTCGTAACGGTTTAGAAAATCTATAGTTTGGCAGCAGTTTGTGTTGTAATGGAAAATTAAGCTATAACTTGAGAAGCATTGTGAGTCTAATATTTTCGTGTACACAAAGCTAAATAAAATGTGAACAATGCAATTCGACTAGATTACTCCTGACTCTATTTAAAGAGCGACTCTATTAGCCTTCGCGAAACGAATTGTCACGAATCAAAATAGCAACGAAAATGTTGCCAACTAATGACAGAAACATGCCAAGGAAAAAAAACGGAATCATTTCATTAGTTAATTAGAAATGTTGTTTACAAGGTCATATTGTTGAGTGAAGTAAGCAAGTAGTTTGAACTAGAGACGGTTTCGTTGTCTGCTACTCGATTCTCCAAACATGTCTCTGGTCTATCTAGTCTCTAGTCTATATAGTCTCTATAGTCTCTATATAGTCTATCTTATCTCTAGTATATATCTAGTCTCTATATAGTCTATCTTATCTCTAGTATATATCTAGTCTCTATATAGTCTATCTTATCTCTAATATATATCTAGCCTCTATATAGTCTATCTTATCTCTAGTACATATCTAGTCTCTATATAGTCTATCTTATCTCTAGTACATATCTAGTCTCTATATAGTCTATCTTATCTCTAGTACATATCTAGTCTCTATATAGTCTATCTTATCTCTAGTACATATCTAGTCTCTATATAGTCTATCTTATCTCTAGTACATATCTAGTCTCTATATAGTCTATCTTATCTCTAGTACATATCTAGTCTCTATATAGTCTATCTTATCTCTAGTACATATCTAGTCTCTATATAGTCTATCTTATCTCTAGTACATATCTAGTCTCTATATAGTCTATCTTATCTCTAGTACATATCTAGTCTCTATATAGTCTATCTTATCTCTAGTACATATCTAGTCTCTATATAGTCTATCTTATCTCATTGATTTGGGAGGGAGGGGGGATCGAGGTGGGGAAAAATGGGGACACGTGTCACCCTAGCTGACATTAATGCCAATTAAGTTCATTTGCTGTGACAGTACACTTAGCTCTGTGTATTTAATGACAATAAATATGCGTGTTTGTGGGCGCGTTTCTCTCATTTGATACAAAATTAGATGTAGAATTGTAGTGCAGAAAAAAACAATAAGGCTCGTGCTTGAATGTAGATCTACCCCTCGTTACAGTTACAATGTTAAGAAATCCTTTAGTTTTATGACCATCTTCAAACAGATGAAAATAGAGCATTTTTTTTTTTGTTTTGTTTTTTATTGTGATAGAAGTGCTTTTAGCAAACTTTCCCTAGATGGCTGAAGTTAGTCAATATTTGATATTTTGGATTTTTGGCACATCGGCACAATTTAGGCCATGTCGTGCCGAAATTAGTCAAAATAAACTAGATCTAATCATTTGGATCATAAGAAGTAGGTTATCTAGGATAGGATAATAGGCCTAATAGGATATCAGTGACTGTTCTAAAGGCCAGCCATGTTAGTGAATCAGCTGCCAGACTTGAGGATTTGATGACTCAAATTCTTTGAAATTTGTTCACCAGAAATGCTTCTTTTTTTTCTCAACTATATTTTGAAATAATTTGGTTCAAACCTCATTTAGGTTTTTTTGTGTGTTAGCGCGCATGTGGGTGTATTTATATAAAGCGATTGCGTAAGTTCACAGTTTAGTGTGTAATTAAATTGTACAAAAGTTGTGCACATTGTCATGTCATTTGTATGAATACACTTGATACATTTGATTGCACTAAGTCCCACTGCTAAATAACAGCCAAAACCAAAGCATAAACCTGAATGCCAAGTAGTGAACTAGTGTAGCAAAAAGAAATACAAAAAAAATAAATAGAAGCGTATCTGCATTAGTTTTTCATTAAGAAAACCAACCGTGAACCTTGCAGCACAAACTATGTTGATTATAGTTCTATTGTCTCTTGATTATAACTTTTATAATCTTGTGGTTATAACTTTATAGTCTGTTGATTATAAGTTTTATATCAGTTGATGATAAACATTATAATCTGTTGATTATAACTTGATAACTCTAAGCATGTTAAATGTCCAGTGTTTGTTGGTAACCTGCATTTAAAACTGTGATTTTTTTCTTGTGGTTCTATTGCCTGTCTGACAATCTCTACCATGTAAATATAATTTAACTGGATCTGCTTCATAACTACAACAAACATTATAATGTGGCCTACAGTTTTCTGTTTCTTCTAAGTGCATATGTATAAAGATGAATTTTTGTTTGTGTGTGATCTACAATTGTGCATACTTTTTTTTTCAGTCTGTGCTTTTATCAAATATTTAACCATTATGTGCTACCGTAGTATTTTTTTTTCTGTTTTTTTTTTCTCCTTAAATCCATGCTGTAATGCAAATTGTAGAACCAAATCTTGTCCATGCTTTTTTTTTTCCTAGATTTTTTTTTCCAGATCTAAATCCAAAGCTTTTCCATCTGGCTGGTTTGAATGTTGCTGTTGTTGCTTGGTGGGACATTTGAGTATTCTGTGACATTTGTCACAATTATTGATGTCAAAGTTGGTGCTTGATTGACCAGGTGCTCTTATAGTTTTTTGACCCTACTCACCAGTGGCTATGAGGTGAAGGTGAGGTGTGTCCACATTCCATAACTATCTCACTAAACACTTCTACACAAATGAAGAAGACTCTATAACTACCAAATTCCACATTGAACTGTAATTTTAAAAATACAGAAATGTCTGTTCTAAAAAACAAAATCCAGTTTTTTAAAGCATTCTCAGCTGAATTAGGGCTCACCAGCATAGGTAAATACCTAGAGATAGCCATTTGTGTTGTGGTCCTTATTGAAATGATGGGACTAATGACATTAAAAATACATAAAGGTGAGAGGGTTTTATTTTAATTTCATTAGCTGAAGACAAGATTACAATTGTACCCACAAGAACCAATTAGTTTATATTTCAAAGCTTAAAAATGTTCCACTTTGTAGTTCTAATGGTCTAGTATTACAACTTACCTTTATTAAAGCCATTATGTGTATGTGTTTTGTTACCAGACGCTGTAATATAAATTTGAAATCCTTATGTTATGTTTTCAAAGTCCCAAAGTAACTCTCCAATGTTGATGTCCATTCATTAGTTTTAATGTTGATTTCTTTATGTGTCCTATAAAATTGCAATTTAAAATTATCTTATACCCAGTATTGTTTCTTTCACAGTTCTAAAAGATTTTTTTTTTACCAAACAGCTTTTAGGTTTTTAATTTTTACTTCTGCTGTAAGAGTTTTTATTTTTAATAAGGAAAGATTACAATTTTATATTTAAACAAATTAAGTTGTTTTTAAACAATTGACAAAATTATCCACTTTGTTGACATTGTCTTTGATAGACAGCTATTAATAAGTAAAAGTTTGATATATTTTTTTAATATGTTAATATTTTATTTACATTTTTTTTTTCTGTCTATGATAAACAAGTAAAATTAAAGCCGAAAACAAATTGTTTGTAATAATTAGACATTTTATAGAAAAATGTACTGAGAACCAAACAGGAGTCCCAATAGCATTTCTAAAGCTGCAATATTTTGACATTTTTTGTGTCTGTATTTTGAGTTTCCATAGCACTGAACAGTTGAAATGATATTGTCATAAAATTTACAGTAGAGTGTTTTGTTCACACTAATATCAGTCCCACATTGATCAAATGACCACATTGTATACCAAAGACAGAAAGTAATAACCACATTTTTTTAAACCACAGCAACTCTAAAGTTTCAAACTATTTAAAGTTTTGTTTAGAATGCATAAAGAGTAACAGACTTTTTATTTTCTTTAAACTGTTCAAGTCAGTTTATTGTCATAAATTCTCCAGAATTTTATCATTTGATCTTTTTGCCTCTTTCAACATAAAAATTTTTTAATTTATTTTTTTTAAATTGATTTTTCATTGAAAGAAAATATTGAACAAACAGAAGAGATATTTATTAACTAGTGGGGAGTAAGATCTCTAGTGTTTCAGCATAGAAGGTGCATCTTGTAGCTAATGTGACTCAAATCCTTTGCACACCTGCCAGTTTTTGTAAATATTTTTGAGGTATATTGTTGATAGTGAAAGTACACTGATTTGAGTGAGATCTGCTTCAGCTCTTCAGTATGAGAGATAGACATGGACACCATTGTTCCTTACAGTGCTAAGTGTTTACATTTGTGACCATAGTTTTCATCAACTGACCAATGTCCAAACATGCCCCATCAAAATGAGATATATTACATATTTTAAGTTATTCTGTTTTTTTTTAAAAAAAAAAGCTTGAAGTTGACAGGATCAGAGTGTAACCCTTTCATTAGCCCAGAAATGATTAGTTCGCATCAGCTCCACTGCCCATTTAACTAGGTCATCAAGAGCTCCACTGTCCATATAACTAGGTCATCAAGAGCTCCACTGCCCATATAACTAGGTCATGAACAGCTCTGCTGTCCATGATCCATACTCTTAACACTTACCGAAATACCCAATGAAAGGCTCATGATTCAATGTGCTGGAAATATGTTTCCACAATCTTTGCAATTCATGTTTTGATTTTGTGCCTGTCTTCATGCCATTTCTTTCTAAATTTCTATTTTATCAACATAATTTAACAACTTATACAATTTATATTCTCAATTAGCATTGTTTCATATTTATATATATATCTACATACTATTATACATTTATGTCATTTTTCAACCCACATTTTCTTTCCAATTTCTTTGACAATATTTGAACAAATTGTATGAAATAAAATGTATGCCCTGCAAGCTTCATTGCATCTCAATGTTTGGAGTCCTGTGTTCATGTTGTACAGTCTTTTATTTAGAAGGAATTGAGAAGGGCAATATAGGCTGAACTGGGGGAGGGGGGGGGGGGTGTCAATATAATGAAGCACATTTCTTTCAAGAAGGTGAACAAACAAATGGTGATGTGTTAGGACCCTTAAGGGCCAAAGGATTAAATATTTATGGCTTGAATTCTGCTGACATTTGGATTTGGTATTGTTATTTGGGAGCAATTGCACTTTTAGTTAGTAAAATTTAGCTGATTGCCAGGTATGTAACTATCAAAGCAACTAGCCTATGGGAATTTTCAATCACAAAAAAATAAGAACCGAAAAGTTCTTTTAAAGTCACATGCTCAAAGCAATAAACTGAACAGTCTGATTATATGACTTACCTGTAGGCATACATTTCTTATCTAGAAGGTATGTATTAAAATATGTTTAATAGAAAAACATTAACTAAACTGATAGATGGAGATATTTAGTTTATTATCATGATTGATACATAATTGCAAAAGTTTTTGGCTCACAACAGTCTCCAAAACAGTTTATGTCCTCCTCACATAAATATTTGTACATCTGATAAGATTGTTCACATGCGTACAATTTCATTAACAAAAATTTTTTGTATAATTTACATGAAACTGAGGCAATCTTGGCAGCATGTTGCATACACATTGTGTACAGTCATCCCACTGCCATCTTGTGGTTTTAGTCTAGTGAAGAGATCACCAATTTATAACACTGAGACATACAAGAGCACAGTTTGCTGAGGTATCACATATTTGCTTGTCCATGTACATTGTACACATTTAAAATAACAATATTTACACATGTACACACTGATAGAATGTTCATTAAGTATATACAAACCATATACACATGGTATAACAGTATAGTAACAAAATATCTTATAAATACAATGTTACGTAATATGATGATGAATACTGATATAAGCCCAACAAGACCAGTCTTTATTTCACTGTAACATGTTCCTAGTCCATTTAGTGTTACAGTAGGACGTCTATTTAGCATCATCATACAAATATAGTTGTATCGTATGCAGACATGCCCCTAGCAGAACTTAGAGAATGTGACAAACTCCGGAATATTCTCTGTCAACTGGGGCTGCACTCAACCCATCTGCTGCACAAATAAATCTACATCTTCCCCAAGGTCCATACCGTCCACTACACTCCCAACATCATCTCCCTCCATGCCCCCCCTCTGCTCCTCCCCCAGCCCTGTCCCAATGTGGCTCTTGGCGAGGTCCTGCCTGGTCTCCACTTCTGTCTTTGAGATATTCATGGAGCTGACCATGTCTGCGTGGTGAGCTCTCTTGATGTGTGTCTTTAGGTTCCCACTTTGCACAAAGGAAGCGTCGCAGTATGGGCAGACGTGAGGCTTCTCCCCACTGTGCTTACGGAGGTGAACTTGCAGAGCATTTTTCTGGTTGAAAGCTTTGTCACAGATTTCACATCTATAGGGCCTCTCACCTGAACAAAATGAAAACTATTTTTTTACTGGAGTTATTTTTTCTTTTTGTAAGCTCTGCATAAGAAGTAAGACTGACGTCAAGACACTTAGTGAAAGACAGTGACCTTAAGGCGTCAATAAAAAGACAAAGCAGAAATTTGGTATCCAAAAAATTTTTGTAACATCTCAATATAACTGTGATGGGAAAACTACTCTCTGCAGGCCAACTCTGGGCCCACAGTGTTTAATTGGATCCACCACGTTTTATATTGATAATTAAAAATAATTTCACTCATAATGTAAACTTGAAGATACAAGTTGAAACAATGGACTAATAATGCAAATTATTTTTAGCCTTCACTGCAAGTTGTGTCAATAGTTGATTTGAAATTAGCAAGAGGGTAGTTATAAAATTTTGTTTTAGTTGAATTTTGATATCATTACATCTAATAGTAAATTTCTGTAACTTTTTTTGTAACAAAAATGAGTAAGGCTTGCCAAAGTTTTTCTTTCAAGTTTTTAGCCCATTCATAAAAAAATTTGCCAATCACTGCAATAAGATCAATAGGATGTACAAGGTTTTCATGCAATGATAATAAAAGCAATAGTCAGTTATGTAAGACCAGTGTGTTTTGATGAGATTGTAAAAACCTTCAAAGCTCAGTGCCATGTACAGTAAAAAAGATTTTGCAAACAAAGAAAAGAAAGATAATGTAATCCAATTAATTTAATTCCACATCATGTTAACCTTTTCTAAGTTTCTCAGCCACCCACCTAAGAATTTTCTCATGCTTGGATTAATGACACCTACAACACTGTTAGAACTAATTTAAAAAAAAAACAAAAAAAAACAGCAATACAAGATCTATTCAATAAAGCCAATGTAATTAATGTATCTCAAGTGTATTGGCAAAAGAAGAGAGTCAGGTCAACTTTTACAGTATTAACACATGTAAGCCATAAACATGGTTGGAATATCTTCTATAGAGAAAATCTCACCTGTATGGATGCGCATGTGACGCTCCACCTGGCTGGGCTTCTGGAATGCCTTGAGGCAGACATTACACTTGTGTGGGGTGGCCTTGGGCTTCTTGGGCACAGGGCCAGTTCCATGTATGTGAAGGTGTTCCTTGAGGTGAGCTGCTCGTTTGAAGCCCTTCAGACAGGTCTGAGGACCACAGAACATTTTATAGAAGCAATTACACAAAACACCATCACTTCTTACTAAACACATAAAATGCTGTCCCAAAGAGAGCTGAAGTTTAATTCTTCAAAACAGAAGCTTCAATTCAATGTGCTATGTAGCAAGGGATGTTTATTTTCTGTTGTGGCCATTGCTTAACAAGGGTCTTATATGGCTAGCACATATAACAATAACAAAAAAAAGAGTTGGACTCAATGACTTCCCAAAACATGAATTCAATAAAAACAATGTTCCCATAAAAGTTGAGGCCCTTTTTTAGCAGTCAAGAAAAAGTCAAAATTGTAAAGTAAGTAGTTAAAGAACAAGAAACCATATTATCTTATCTTACATAATTATGCATATTAACCAATGACTTAAATTCTGCCAAGTCACTGGTTTTCCTGGCTAGCTCAGGCAACCCATTCCATGCTCTAATAGCACTAGGGAAGAAGGAGCATTTGTTCAAATTTGTCCTAGCATATGGAACGAGGAATGTACCTTTATTTTTATGTCTTTCTGAGTATTTTATTAGATTTTGTTTTTGCATTTGAAGATTATGGTTCAGTGTTTTATGTATAATTGATACTTTACTTTTGACTCTTCTATCCTGAAGGCTTTCTAAATTTAGTGATTTTACTAAAGGTGTTACTCTAGTTAAATGCGAATATTTGTTTGTTATGAATCTCACTGCTCTATTTTGTGTCTGTTCAATATTATTAATGTTTTCTTGAGTCGAGGGGTCCCAAAAGGAGGATGCATATTCTATTATTGGCCTAACCAAGGTTTAAATAACATTATAGTTTTATGTTCTTATTTTGATATATAGAAATTTCTTTTAATTAACCCTAATGCTTTTTATTGATTTTTTGATAGTTTCATCAATATGGAGATTCCAATTTCATTTATTATAACACCTAGGTATTTTGCGTTTTTAGACTGTGTTACTGGTTGACTTAATTAGGCCAAGTTAAGATGACCTTGATTCCATAGCATAGGTCTGGCAGAAGTTTGTGTTTAACATTTATTTCAGTCAATTCAAACACAAGTTGTAACTCTTATACACAAAAAGCACTTGATAACTTAAGGTTTATAATGAGGATCAGCTTTATAAACTTAGACACAATTTCAGAACATGGTCTAGCGGTCTATAGGTAAGATGATGTAAAGGTCATGTTTCTGTGGCCAACAGTTACCAAGGGTGTCATGTGGCCAGCACAATGACCAAACAATTTTACTTTTCCCCCAACTAACGCCAGGTACCCAATAGAGCTGGGTGGACTTAGAGGGCCCAAAGATCCCAAAATTAAAAATCCCAATCTTCACCAGGATTGAAACCTGGGACCCCTGGTTGAAAATAAGTTAACAAAAAATATTATGAATGGAATGACTTAGCAAATTCATCAATCCTACCTTCTCCACTTCCTGCGTTCAATATAGACCAGAACAAAAAAAGTGCAGAATGATGACCTACATGTAACCAAACCCCATTGAAAGCCTAATATAAGGAGCCTCTAGCCCCACACAGACTTACTGTACATATGTGTTGCCTGTCAGTGCCTTCAACTGGCCTGTCCACTCCTTCAGGCTGGTGACTGACCTCAGACTTGCCCATCAAGGCTTGGGCATCTACATCCTCATTGTCCTCCTCTTCCTCCTCCTCGTCATCCTCATCATCCATGCCATCTCCTTGGTGACCCATGCTTGGGTTCTGATCCTGATAAGGTTAACACAAGGAAATTTTAACATTAATCAACTTACAAGGTCTACACTACATACGAATGACACACCTAAAAGGCCAACACCCACAAAGGTTTACCTTGATCCAGCTGAATACATCACAGGTCAATGACCTCAAATTTGAAAACTCACTATTAAGAAAGTCAATTAAGTAATCTAAATTTCTTTACTTAAATTTTACCACAATATGTGTGATCTTTTATGAGTGTAGACAGTTTTTTATCCTTATGATAAAGATCATTTTTTTATAAAACAAGATTACAAAGAGAGTTTGTGTTACCACACAAACTAAGAGGCGGCCCCCGACGGAGTCGGATCCCTGTCGGATTCGCCTATTCTCAAGGAATATTTAAGACGTGATTTTTTGTTTTCATTGTCAAAAGTAATAATGATTCATTTGACTTTGTAAAAAAGTTGTTTTTTTTGTAAAATATCTTACATGTTTTGGATGTTCCTTCAAAGTTATAGATAATTTACTTCCTTATCCGAACCTCCCAATGAACGACGGAGGATGGCAGCAAGCAGGGTATGAACCCGGGACCATTGAGATTATCAGTCCAGCACTCTAGCCGCATGACCAGGCAGTG